CATAAATGTATGCAGCTTTACTATGTTGTAAGTTGGTGCCTTCCTTGAAAATGATGCCCACGCACTGAAATGCCAAGGTTGAGTGCTGAACCCCACTTGTCCACAAATGAATTCCTATAGATGGCAACTTCCTGACTTCCTACTCCATACCTTTGATTAATCTAATGCCCTTTAAATTAATGGTTTATGAAAATGTTTCACAAAGAAGTTGACAGACAAAATTATTTGCGGACACTACATATTCTTCGTAATAACTTTGAATGGGTAACATCGACTACATGAATATCTCTTACTTAGAAAGCAAACTTGCATGTCCCCTAACCGGGCCCCCGAAACACTAACCAGCTTGAGCAGATCAGACAAAGGGGTCTGTAAAAACAAACCATACAAATCCCTTTGTTAGGTCTAATGGTTTTACTCACCAGTCATCCTCCTTTCCTCGGCTCAAGCCTCTTCTCATTTAACATATCCATGCTGTATACAGGTCTCTTGAAAGTCTCTCACGGACAAACGAGTTCCATTTGCTAAAGGTACCAAACTTGGCTGATGCAACATGCATCTCCTTTGTGCAAGGCAGGGAAACACCAGCTGTCAGGCAGCTCCTCTAACGCAAAACACGTGTGGAAGCAAAACACGTGTGGAAGCAGTGGGGCTTGCTACCAGTTTGATTGATGACGTTCTCCCTCGGTATGTACAGTTGACCTGATTCTATTACAGCCTGACCTATATATTTCAGGCCAAAGGTGCTACTGTAGAGTGTTGAAAACAACAACCTGCCTCATTTTGCTCTGTACTGTAGTGCACTGTATCTAAACTGGTAGGAGCATCCTTCATTTTCACTGTCACTCATCAATGTATCCAATATATATATAGTGTATTCTTAAGTTATGTTGACCACAGATATGATTTATGAATTACTTCATAAATTATGCAAATCACACCCATATTTGCATAATTGTCACATAATTATGCCAAGCATTACTTAAGCTACCTACATACCAAAAATCATGACTATCCTTCAATCGGTTCTTGAGGTATTCTCTTTTAAATACTTTTAAACAAATGCCCTTGTAGTTCCAGAGCAAGCCTCTAGGAAGCCCAAACTCACGCCACGTCCTCCCCAGAACATCCTACCTATCATTCAAATTTTGTGACCCTAGCATGTCTAGATCGTGAGATATCAACAAAAGACAGTCTTATCTTAACAAAGAATGCCATTTTAGCATTTCCTCATAAATTATGCAAATGAGGTCATTATTTGAATTGATGTTGAGTTGATGCTTAATGATGTTCACCTTCATTTAACTTTCAAATATCCTAAGTATGGAATTCGAGGCAGTTATCATTGCTGAATTATAACATGTACTCATTAATTATGCAAATTAAGTCTTAATTTACATAATCGATATCTGCCTGTGTTTCTCTTGGTCTCAATTACATATGCCACAAGCTTGAATAGTCATATTATGTGATGCAACTGAATTATAGAATTTCCTCATGAATTATGCAAATTACGGTAATATTTGCATAATACTCACATTATTATGTCAAACATCACTTAAGTTACCTACACACCAAAAACCCTGACGATCCATCAATCGGTTCTTGAGTTATCCTCTTTTAAACATTTGTCCTTTAAACCCCTCTGCAGTTCTAGAGCAAGCAACTAGGGGGCCCAAACTCATGTCACTTCATCCCCAGCACAAGAGCTATCTACCACCTAAATTTCGTTACCCTAGCATGTCTGGATCGTGAGATATCAAAACCGGAAGTTCTGCTGCAGTACCACGACAAGCTGCCAGGCGGCCCAAAATCTAATCATTTTGAGGTCTCATCAAGACCTACCCACCTACCAAGTATCAAGACAATCCATCAAGGCCTTCTCAAGTTATAGTGTTTACAGACACACACACACACACACACACACAAACACACACATACACGAACGCCTCTGAAAACATAACCTTCTTGGCGAAGGTAAATATACTGTTTCTAGACTTTTGGAGAAACGGGATACTTACCAGTTCTATTCAATGCTAAATACATTAGGTAAAACTAATTCCTAGAGCCTGTTGTAGACGTAAATGTTACTTGTAGTTTTTGAGTACTTCAACACGAAGCCCTTGTGGTTGATACCAAACTTCTTAGTAGAATTTCTGTATCCTTACAATTGGAAATTACAAAATGTATAATTCCTACAAACTACATGTAACCTGATTGTAGTTCTTATGTACAAATACATAACACAGAGACGTAACTAGGCATAATATGATTAACATGTGATCGTCATCAACATGTGATTTTTCAATTCAATAGTACCCTTTATCGTAGCCAGCCACTTTAATTCAACCATTGAACGTTCAGCATTGTCGCAAAATTATCCGTAAAGCACAATTGGTTACTTTAATTCCTTGTAGCACGTTGTTATCCTGAATTCGTCGTCAATCGTTCTTGAAAAATTGTATGACGTAGTTGATCACCAGATTGCCCACAATTTCTAGTTACAGAGTCTGCAGACTGCAGTTTTGTCAGACACCCCATGGATGCAAAAGAAATCAGGTATTTCCAAAGCCTTTACACAAGAACAAGTAAATCAACCAATGAGCGTTGCTAGGCTTCCTGAATACCATCAAATATTGTTAAACCTCCTAAATTCACTGTTTAAGAGCATTGCCAGCATGCCTCCATGCAGACCCTCATTATAAGGCATTTTACCTTTCTTATTATTTGGTATAAAAGTAAGTGTAACAGTTTACCTTAAATTCTGGTAGCCAAGCTGCATTAGGAAAGGGACAAAGGGTAATAATTGTTTACTCTATATTCAAGATACATTGTACTTTAAGAACAGTGAATGCTCAAAAGATCCATACGGCTGTGTTGAAAAGTTGATCATGAAAAACATTGAAGACAAACAAAAAGACAAGATACAACTGATCACTTTTGAAGCTAAATTTTCCCACGGATATGCCACCTTTGTACAAGGGAAAGTTTAGTTCTTGCAAAATGCCCATCAACATTATCACGAATCACATTCAACTCTCCTATCATGAAAGAATCCAACCTTTTCATCCTGAATAGGAATACAAATTTCACCAAAAAACTATGTAATGTACTAATTCATGAGATCAACACATACATGTATTGCCATTTAGGCTTACTAATATTTCCCGGGAAAAGTTATCACTGTTTATGCATATATCTATGTTCTCTACAACACCAGGTAGGACGAAGATAGCAGCATAAACTGATAGGAAATGAATGTTACTGAACATGAAGTAAAATTGAGTGTTTCTTGTTGGAATGTAGATATATGACATGACATGTTAGCTGATCAATGTAAGCCGATTAACACCAACCCTGTGTAACATCCAGGATTACTAATAAAGCCGCAGCTTTCACTAAAAATCTACTCGTCCTCAGAAGTCTTCTTGGCTCCTACCGACAGATAGGGAAATAAATATTCAACATATGGAATTGTACTAGTATTCCATGTGATGATGTAAAAACAATCCTGAGGGCAAAAGGATTGACTATAGATCTTTTTTTTTTTTCATTTTTGAGATAGATATGTCCTTATTATATGTAGTTATTCATTCTGAATTTGTAGCTTAGGCTACTGTATATACCTGAGTTACCTGCCTGGTTATAAAAATAGCTTATGTTCACTGTTCATAGTCATGAATATTGTATCTGGATGTTTTGCACCTAGCTACAGCAGTTTTGCACAATGTGTTCAAACCCCTGCAATAGCCAGCATATTTTAATACCTAGCAAAGACGTAGGCATTCAATATCAAAGATAATGCATGTGCTACATGTATATACGAAGTACAACGTATAAACTATCATTAGGTGCTGCACAATATAAAGCTGACGCAATGTACAGTGTGGAAACAATAACGTCTGGATTCCTACGGTGGCGGGTTGTTTGCACAGTGCCAATGACGCACGGGAACTCGTGTGACCTCTGTGTGTTTATCAACATTATAAACCAGTCAAACTGTTTATCTTACACTTACAACATGCCGTGCTCCTTTTGCATGTAGCCTGGACTGTTCTTAGGCTACGGAACACAGGCCAGTCCCACGTTAGCCTGGATGCCAGGCTGTTTTCATAGCCAAATTGCAATACACAGGCCAGCCCCGAGTTAGAAAGTCTAGTTGAGGAGTCTGTGGCAAAATTTCCTTGAGGACATGTTGGCCCTGGCGCCGAGGAGCTAGAATGTAGACTGTCTCTGGCAACAGTCTAGCGCCCAGGCTAGTTTGTACGTTCCTTGGAATCACCAACCATAACGGAAAGAGTTAAGAACTGATAGCTTACTAGGTCTTTGAATATTTACTGTAGAAGGCTACAAACAGGCTGAGACTGATTAGCGCAAACAACACGGTTTGCTGTGAACGTTATGAAACGTAATCAACCACGGGACTGTATAACGGCCTTATAACACAGATTACGTGAAACTTAAACTGACAGACATTTCGTGTTGACGTTCAGGACATGTTAATGAGAAGGGATGTTTATTGACTAGATTGTCGTAATGCTAAGAACAACATTGTGTTTACTGGCAATAAACATTCAGTGAGAGGCAAACATACGTCAGTGGTTTGTTTGTCCACGTAAACGTGAGATTCCTATCGTGAGCAAGCAAACAATAAAACATAAAGGTCAATCGCAGGAACTCTTTAATTACAGTGAGGGGTTTACAGTCGCTACCAACTGACCCGGCCGATGGGTCTAGACCTTTTCGGCCGAGTTAGAGCGTCGGAGTTTGAATCTGGTGCTCGGGAGGTCGTGAGTTCGAACCCTGCCCGGGACCAGGAGGGTTTTTATCTGTTTCTACTACTCGCCTCCTGTGTCTTACAACTCCTTCTGTGCCTGCTCTGTGCGGACCGGAAGTGGACTGATGTCCCGAACAGCAGAGGAAGTTTTGTCGATAGTAATCTTTATTGTCTGACTTCCGTTACGTCCGCTGTGGTAGTCTGACGTCTTGTACGTCATTCTTCTCCATTCAACATGCAAGAAGGACGCTTCTGACGCGAAGAATCTGTCAAGAAAACGACCAAAACAACAGGAAGTCTTGGGTATAAATGATGAAGCCGGCAAGTCAGGGGCATACTGACTCCAACAGGACAGACGACAGAGACAGAAGACCATCAGGAGGGAGAGGACTTACTGACGCTCATCAAGACATCACTGCCGCAGCTCACCATGGTGTCCTTCAGGGGAGCTCTTTTCTTTTTCATCGTCGGCTTTGCCGTGTCTACCCCGATCTCCAAACGGCAGGTATGGTATAAAATTTCTCCTCAGAAATTTATTGTTGGCTTGTGCCACACTTTGAAGTCTTCAAATTCTCTTGTTTACAAGTGTGTGATACTAATACTTGTATTTTGCTTTTAGTATCTGCCACCAATATGTCGTTCATTGGGTAAATTTGTCACTGTAGATTTATGTCTGCCAGTAACATTTGTCGCTGAAAATTATGATCTGCCGACAACATTCGATCAATATTCATTTGTATGAATTTAACGCCATCAGTGATGTTGCCATACCTTCCCCCCCCCCCAAAAAAAAAAAACATATCACACTGTGACTGCAAAAGAGTTTTGATTATATTTACCTTACGAATACTACTGGGAAGGAGCGAAGCCGAGAAGGCCAATGTTTTACTTTTTCAGTTGTGACTAACATTCTCATCTTCTAGGCTGAACAAAGTACGGAAGAGGCGTTCAGCTGTGAGGGCAGGTCTCCAGGCATGTACAGTGATCCTAAGAACTGCTCCATGTACTACGAGTGTGTGCTGGGCCATCCCGTGTACCACCGCGCATGTGCGCCTGGAGGACCTGTGTTCGACGAACAAGACCAGATGTGTGACTGGCCCGAGAACGTGGCGCCGCCTTGCGGGGTGAGAAAGTATTGCAAGTTTTCTCGCATTCGAAATTTACTTCAAAACGTTACATACATGTTGAGAATGTGTTTAAGAACTGCGTTTGTTTGCATAACCAGACCCAGAGGATGGTTACGGAGGCGCCCGAGCCCTTCACGTGTGAGGACAGGGCCCCCGGTCTGTACGCAGACCTGCTGAACTGCAGTATGTACTGGGAGTGTGTGGTCGGACATTCCGCCTACAACCGGCCCTGTGCGCCTGACGGACTCGTCTTCAACAGTCTGCTGGGGGTGTGCGACTGGCCCTACAACGTCGTCGGTACATGCGGGGTAAGCCTGTCTGATATAAACGGTCGCTTGGCCTTAGTCTTAGTTGATCATGTTCATCATAATTAACGTATTCATGGATAATAAAAAAAGTACTAAACAAGTAGTAGTAGTAGCAGCAGTAGTAGTAATAGTAGTAGTAGTACATGTAGTAACAGTAGTAGTAGTGTTAGTAGTAGTAGTAGGAGTAGTAGTAGTAGTCGTAGCAACAGCAGCAGTAGTAGTAGTAGTAGTAGCAGCAGCAGCAGCAGTAGTAGTGGTAGCAGTAGCAGTAGTAGTAGTAGCAGCAGCAGCAGCAGTAGTAGTAGTTGTAGTGGTAGCAGTAGCAGTAGTAGTAGTAGTAGTAGTAGTAGTAGTTGTAGTAGTAGTAGTAGTAGTAGTAGTAGTAGTAGTAGTAGCAGTAGAAGTAGCAGTAGTAGTAGTAGTAGCAGTAGTACTAGCAGTACTACTAATAGTAGCAGTAGTAGTAGCACGTGCTGTAGATTGCTGTTGTTTATTATGAGAGGAGGAAGTATAGGTACATGTAGCAACTTACTATTTACTGAGATGGACACTACGGTTACTATATGGCCTACAAGTGCAAAGCTGACCGTGCGGCGTTTTGTATCGTTCCTGACAGACCAAAGCTGAATCCCGCGATACGGACGACGCCATGGCAGGCTCTGGAAACGAGACGGACGATGCAGGCTCTGGGGACGAGAATACCGAAGAAACCGTTGAAGGTGAGCTTATGAATAATAAGTTGTTCTTTTATTAATACAAATGTCAAATGATAACGGAAAATGGATTCTTAACTTTCAAGCAGCACAAGGTTAATAACGTTCTTTTTGTGAGTGAGTGAGTGAGTGAGTGAGTGAGTGAGTGAGTGAGTGAGTGAGTGAGTGAGTGAGTGAGTGAGTGAGTGAGTGAGTGAGTGAGTGATAAATATATCTCAACATTGATAGCGTGGTCTACCTGTTGAAATTTTACTGATGCGCGCTGTTGTTACCAGTTTTCAGTTGTGATGGGAGAGCTGAGGGCCTGTACTCGGACCCTAGCGACTGCTCCATGTACTACCACTGTGCCGCGGGCCACCCTCCCTACCGCCGCCCATGCGCCCCGGGAGGGACCGTCTTTGACGAGCAAGACCAGATCTGTGATTGGCCCGAGAACGTAGCGCCACCTTGCGGGGTAAGTTGCGCTGCAGTCACAATATCCCATTATGATCTATTTTTGTCATTCTAAACCTTTGGTGGTACCAGCCAGTTACTAGTACATGTATATAGAAATATAATTTATTATTTGTGACGTTGTGTGGCGCAATGGTTAGGGTACCTGACGTTGTACCCTTGAGAAAGGCACTTTCCACACGACTTTCTTCACTTCACTCAGGTGAAAATAACTACCCAGCTTCGGTTCAGGACGTCCCTTGTAATATCAACAGTAACCATCCTCTGTAGTCTGTGATGGTACCTTCAATTATTCAATATTCTGTATATATTTTCTTATGAATTATACTGATTTTGTACTACAAACCAAAATTAGTATGTTATTCTGGTCAAACTATATTTGTTTTCATCATTTCCTAAGATAGTAAAGGTAGCCTTTTTCAGACCGCAGGGGCACTGCATTGTTACCGCTGTATCTAGGGCAAGGTATTGGAAAGCAAAGCCCATCCCTCTACTTCCACGGACTATTTCCTCTCCAACTGAAGTCAGGTACACATTTTACACCTGGGTGGAGTGAGAAAAGTCGTGTAAAGTGCATTTCTCAAGGGTACCGGTACAAGATCGGTGACATGGCAGGGTTCGAACCGAGGACCTCTAGGCTCTGGGCCTTGACCTCACCAACATGATGAAATGCATGATTATTAAATTAGAAGTAGCGAGAAAACGATACTTACCAATGAACCTTATGTCACAGACAGAGACGATGCCTCCACCCTTCACGTGTGCGGACAAGGCCCCGGGCAGCTACACCGACCCGCAGAACTGTGCAAAGTTCTACCAGTGCGTGTCCGGTCACGCCGAGCCGAGCCACCGAGACTGTCCCGCGGGAGGACTCGTCTTTGACGCCGAGCTGATGATCTGTAACTGGCCGGCGGCCGTCCTGGCTCCATGTGGGGTAGGTTTGGGTTTTCATTTCCTTGTTTGACTGTTTGTTTCACCAACAGAGATTTGCATAACCGGTAAACCCCTCCAAGGAAGGAACCCTTTTGCTATTCTTTTTAATGAGTGCGATGGGATCTTTAATGTGCTCGAGGTGTGGCTCTCCTCAAACACATACAGGACCTTCGGCTTTACGTCCCGTCCGAAAAGACCTCCCTAACCGAAGCTAGATACTCTCATTTTCACCTGAGTTGAGTGAGGAAATAGGTAAAGTGCCTTTCCCAAAGACACTAGTGGGGTCTGCCGGGATTCGAACCCAGAACCTTCGTATTCTGAGTCAACCCAAATCACAAAACCACATTACCATCTTAAGCTTCGGGACATTTCTTGACTTTTTTCTTCAAAATTATTTGAAACATTGATGCACATATGTCTTAGTTAAGTTTTTTTTTCACCTGAGAAATACATTTTTATAAGTTTGCTAACTAAACGCAGCATTTATAGTGATCGCAAAATAACACTACACTGTGGCACGGGTCTTGGAACTCGTTCCTGACAGTATCAAGATATGCTATCTGCTCTTCACATCCTGATATTAAATATTTTTGTTGTAATTTCATTATCAATTCAGGTGGCTCCTTGACGACTTTTCATTGATCATTACTTGGTGTCAGAAATTGTTAAATGAAATATGTACTAATCATATATATGTATTCCTTCTTTCAGTACAAAACTGAGTAGATGCTAGGAAGACACCAAGAAGAACCAGAAGCCCTCAGCTTCCTGTATGTCTTGTAGCCTGAAGATCTCGTCGTTGTTTCTTGAGGTTTTATCGAACAATGCAAATATAGCGCAAATATAGCGTTAACAGAGCTTTTATCCTGTTTCCTAGCAGTAACGTTATAAATGGCCGCTGGTCGGTCTGAATGTTTTGGACGTCTTCGCTTTGTACTGTTTGTAAGTTACGGCGTTTAGTTGAGAATTTGCTTCATTTGTAAAATTTTACACTATATATTTGCAATAAAGAGTTAACAATTGTATCATATTGTGTTGCGACTGTCTGTGGAAAGTTACTTAATTCGGATAGAAGTAACTACTAGTATCAAAGTAACTGCATATAATAACCTTAAACTTCCTTGTTTAAAATATGAGGTTCAACATCAAACCTCAGGACAATCAATCAAACAATCAGACAAAATGAGACACAAAATGATGATTCTCCAGAAATTGGGACTTCAGGTCAATTGGTAATATCTATAAAACCAGCAAATATAATTACCACTGGCTATTTCTCTTGTGGCTCGAGCATGGTATCAATTTTACCCAGTTTTTAAATTTGCAAAGATTTATATATGCTACAGCAAATTACTAAAGATTTATGGCATATCATGTGAATTTCTGCAGAACACAAATAATTTTTTTCAGTTTCTTTTACACCTCAAATCTATAAAAACAAGTAAAAATCAACAGTATTTACCCATAATGCATCTAAAGCCTAAAAGTCACACTTCGCTGTATTGCTCTCACCTTGCTTCCTTGTTAATTTTGGAAAAACCGATGCCACAGGCCGCAGTCTTTCTGTCACTGTTTTTCGTGGAGTTGGCGTACACAGTGGAAGCAGAGTAGAAGAATTTAGTGTTTAGAATACAGGTGGTTGTTTCATGGAATTTTTTTTTCGTTCGGGTTAAGCCATTTCTTGTGGTATCGAAAATCCTTTGTTCATTCCCATTCTTGAATACTGCAGCACGGCTGCCATTTCTTCATTTTTGTGCCACTATTTGTGACAGATACTTACTACTAGTAGGCAGGCAGCGCTTTTTAGCCGCTGTCACAGAAATGCATGTAGTATCGCTGATGATTAATAGGTGGCGCTTTTGATACATGTAGAAATGTACCTTCTCAACTTCAGAAGTCTGCCAACATTACATGTAAATGACGGGTATGTTTTTCTATCCTGCCTGAACTTGTACAAACAAATTAATACGGATAAGAAATTGATAGAGGAATTCGTTTTATTTCATTGACAATCATTGTTTATCTTAATTAAGAAAGGCAATACTATCATGAATTCAATCTTTTTACACTAAGGCCACAGCAAGTAATTTTTATGGATGACATCCACACGCGCATTGATTTTCGCCTGATTTTGGAAAAAAAACAAGAAATTTTGTTGCCCTTTGACGGTGGTCAACATGCTGACTTACTTACTTACTTAGTTCGAGCTCCCGCTCGAACCAATCCTGAGAGTTGTCTCCAAAGCACTTTGTCCTCCATGGCCTTCTTTATCTCCCTGGTGTCCTGTAAGTTGGTGTCTTTGCGCAGATTATCCACGAATGTTACTCTGGGTCTCCCTCTGCTCCGTTTTCCTTTTAACGGTTCCCACAGAACGAGACTTGATGCCAGGATGTCCGGGTGTCTAATGCAGTGACCGGCGATTTTCATCCTGCGTTCTCGAATTTTGTCTGTGACAGCAGGTAGATCCTGGTACAACTGTTGGTTTGTAAGTTTGAGTTGCCATGCACATTCGTAACATTCGGGTATAACAGCCGTTCAGCCTTTTTTCGAGTGATTTGGTCAGGGACCACGTTTCGGATCCATATAAGAGAATGGACTCAACTGTGGCAATAAACAGCCTTTGTTTGGTTTTACGTGGTAGATTAGACTTCCAAATCTTGCTTAGCTTATGACAGCTTTTCCACGCTAATGCTTTTCTGACCTCAAAATCTGTTTCTGCGTCTTTCATCCAGGATCCAAGATATTTAAAGTTCTTAACTACTTCGACAGTGTCGCCACTTTTAGTTTTAATAATGACTGGATCTTTCTGATTAAACGCCATAAGTTTTGTTTTGCCGGCGTTTAGCTGGAGCCCGACTTTAGCAGCTTCGTTTTCCATACGGCATAGGAGTTCTTGTGCCTGTGCTATTTTCTCTGCTAAAAGTGCTATGTCATCTGCGAAGTCGAAATCGCTTATGACGACTGGTGGGTGACGCCTACTTTTTCGTCTTTCTAGCTCAAAGCCCAGTTCATATT